CCCCAAAACCCCAAAACCCCAAAACCCCAAAACCCCAAAGGTAAAAATCCTTATTGGAGCAATAATTTCTCCAGTTGAAAGACAAAGTTTGTACGCAATCTTAACCAAGATTTCTTATTTAGCAGCTGGAGGTTATCCTTGCTTAGGATATCATACTTTTAAGTTCCGTTGTTTAGATCCAAATCTTGACGTTATCAAATCCATGCTTCTTGAGCACATCCTCGCAGTGGCTCTCGGATAATGAGTTACCGCACATAGCAATCTCTTCCAAGTTCTTCTTGAAGTCGGGACATTTACCTAGGCCTTCAATCAGGTTCTCAAAATGAGTCGGGTTTTCGTACCAGTTGCCATAGTTACAGTCTCCGCTATCGCTCAAGATCAGAGTTTTGATAGTACTACCGACCAGGGCTTTAGTTAGATTTGGCACTGAAGTCAAATCCAGGTTACAGCGAGTGAGGCCGAACTGCTCAATAGACTTGTTCTGAGAGAACAGAGTGACTAACTCATCCTGGTTGATTTCAAACTGGCAATACCATAGGATCTTTGTAACTCTGGCACTCACTTGTCCAAGCTCGCTGATGAAAGGAGTAATGGGGCTTGTATCACCTTGATAATTGAACCAAAACTCTCTGACAGTCTTAGGAAAGTATTTCTTGAAAAACATGTTCATACTCTCAGCTTCCTCTGTTGGAAATTCACATATTCTTAAAGCGTCGAGTTCAGGCAGTCTCTTGGAAATGGCTTTTAAGAAGGGCAAAATTTCAGGAGAATCAAAACGCAAGAAGAACTCAGATTTATTAGTAAACCCTTCTTCTCATCCAACAGGAGAAGTATTAGTCACTTCCTCATAAAGTTTGGCAAGATCTTGATAAGCCATGATTTCACCCTAAAATCCAAGTTATAGTAACCCATATGCACTAATACCAAATCTTCTGCTAAGCTCAGGTTTTTAACCTCGAGCCCGGCTAATTTTTAAGAAACAAACTGTTCGTAGATTCTTAGATCAAAGGCTTACATCAGGACTCATTTTTGGCTTTTGTGATGCTGACTTGCCTATTTGGATATTTAGAAAAGTAATTATGCGATGAGTATTGAAGCTATGATCAAACCGCCAACAAGACCAGGATCTAAAGCTTCATTCTAGAGTCAAGAGAATACTGTTTAAATCCAATTAGAAGTGACTCTAGACGTCCTTAATTCAATATAATAAGTTGTATTGTACATAAATTTTAACAACCAGTTGGGTCATATCTAAGTCTTTCTTATAAATGTTCCTTAAATCCAATATATCGCACTAAGAATCCAATTAACCCCGTAGATTCCATACACGTTCCCAAATGATAGAGAATCTTCCAGCCAAAATTTCACTCTCAAGAGGAAAAACAGCCGGAGCCAAGGTGCTTACTTGCCGATGAGGATTTATTTCCCATTTCTATTTCTATTAAAATTTTAACTTAGGGGTTTTGGGGTTTTGGGGTTTTGGGGTTTTGGGG